GAGAGAAATTCAGCCGAGAAGAAAGGCCCACTGCGAAAATCCTGGCGGTTTAATGGTGATCAGAAACATGAAGGAAACACGTGGAAGACTTTGATTTCGGTTACAATGGATCTGGGGTAGCTTTGGACACACCGGATTCCTTCGCAGCAATCGCCACTCCGGATCTAAAAACGGCACCTTTCCTTTCCAACTCTGAAGCAAGGCAACCGGCACGCAGCTTCCGCCATTAAAGATCTGCTTCAAATTCTGTGTCCATCTCAGAGTCCACTCTTCTTCTACATTACGGTATTCGCAATTCAAGTTCTCTACTTTTTGCTGTTGCAGAGTTGTGAAATTCTGTCTCTTTCTTTTTTTGAGTGGATGCCACTCCAACACTGCTTTTTTTCATCCTTAATTTCAGTGTTTTGGGTAGAATTGGTATGTGTTCTTTGGAATTCTAATTCTGGGAATTTCCAGTACTTTGCTCTGAAATTGGTATTCTGAAATTTTATTTTATGATTTTTTTGTTATTCCTTCTATCATTTCCAATTTCTTGTTATCTTTTTTCCGTCTCTACTCTATTACTTGTATTACAAGTTATTTTGATATGTTAATATAAGTACTCAAATCAAAATTTAAAAAAAATGATTTGAATGAAATTTTAGTATAATTAAATGCATATTCCCAAATATATATGGCAATAATATCAAATATATATACAATTTAAAAGAAATGTAAACTAAAATTTATATTTAAAAAAATTAAAAAGTTGATAATAGCATAATATGAATAACATAAGAAACATAATATCTTCTTGCAAAAACAAAAAAAAAAATATTTTTGCATATGATTTGATCAGATTCATGCTTTTCTTGTCCAATTCAGTGAATGAATCAACACTTTTATTATTCTAATTGACTCCAATCTTATGAGTGAAGTTCTCTTCTTAACACAAAAAATAAAAATCCATTAAAATAGTCTATAAAGAAAAAAAAATACATAAATTTTAAACAAATAAAGTTACAAAATTCTTTTAAAAGAATAACATCATATGTTTTATAAAAAATTCATAAACAAGAATAGTAATCTTTATTTCATACAAGAAAATAAAAATATAATATTATATTTAGTTACAATATGAAAAAAAAAAAAAAATGAAACTCACCATATTAGTAAAAGGAAATTGTAGAGGTGAAGAAGAGAATATAATATATTAATATAAAGAAAGTGACTAAGAATTAAAGATGGAGAGGAAGATGGAAGGGTATAGAGAAAAATCATGAAAAAATAATGTCGTCAAAGATTATAGGAGAGTATGCATTTATAGATTTAAACATTAACTCTTCATTTTCTTCATTTAAGAGTTTTAAAATATTTAGACCTTTGATTTATATATATATATATATTAAGATAATACTGGTCGTCTCATCTATCACATTTATTCATCAATTATTTTTATCATTTACAATTTTCAATTATTTGCCTATCTATCACTTTTATTATCTTTTATAATTTTCATTTATTTTTTTCATTTATTTATAATTTATAATTTTCATATATTTTGCATTTTTATTTCAACCTTTTAAATTAATATAATATAATATTTTAAATAAAATATAACACCTAAACAAACCACATCAATAAAACCCCATATAAAATATTTGGAACATAAAGAAAAGTAAGGATTTATATAAAGATGAGAATATAATATATTTGTGTAGAGAAAAACAAAAATTTATATATAAGTGAGTAGGAAGATCGAAGGATATGGGGAAAGATTATTTACTATTTAATACTTATTTTTATTTTTTTTTGAATATTTAAATGATATTGTCCCTTCATCTCCCAATCCCTGATCTTTTTATCCATTCCAATGTCTTTTTCTACATTTAAGTATTTTAAATGGCACACCTTTCTATCTTCTAACCTTCATACTCTCTATTTTTTAAGTTTTAATTATTACTAATTAACATGTTGGAAAAATAGAAAAAAAAAAGAAAAGAAAAGAAAAGAAATGGTCTTGCCTTTTCATCTATCAAAGCATGAATTAATCTTTTTAATATTAATAATTAACATACTACTTATTAAATTATCTTTCAGTTGAAAACATAATTAGCTTTAATTTGTTATTTGTATTATATAATTATTATATAATAAATAACTTATATAATAAACAATAAATATATATTATATATTATTATATTATAAATTTATAATACCATGATATTATAATTATATTATTATCAAGAAAAAATAG